ATACATACTTCAGAGTTCTTAAAAAGAATCTCTCATGTGTAAATGAAGAGAAAAATACAGAATTGTTCATTGTCTTATAATTTGAACCTAACAAAATTTGAATCCTCGGATTTCACCATTTAAACAAAAAAATAGATGATTCAAGCCAGCATTGAGAAGAGAGTTGTTCCCCACCACCACCACAACACACGACACACACACATACCAGAAAAAGGGAAATAGAAAAAGGAGGAGGACAACCTAGTAGTACATATGATGAAACATTTGCTGGGTATAACACTATGACATAATGCTTAGGCAACAATTCAAAGATCCAAGGCAGTTAAACTAATTCAGTAAAGATTCAAGAATAGCAATATCATAGTTGATGCAAGTCAAAACCTAGATTCCCTGATGAGCCATATGAACTTATATCATTCAAATTGGCTGAGGCAGATGCGTTCCTCCGCAAATTTGTAGTTATAAAAGATCCATCTCTGCAAACATATCAAACAACAAGAATCAGAAACATGACCAAGGAAAAAAAGAAGACAAATAAGTGAGTAACATATTCAGAGGATAAGAGAAAACTTATTTCATACTTCGATCCAATATCCACTCCACTGCTTTGCCTACGCAATGATCCTGCAGCAACATAATTACATACATTTGTGACAAAAACAAGAAAATAAAACATACAGTTTGGAGCATCAAGTTGCAAAACCTCACAATGAAAATCACCAATCAAAAACTGGAAGTTTCAATGTCAACAAAGTTAACAATACTCAAAAGTTGAAATTCTCAATCCACTTGGACATGCGGTCAAAAGCATCATTCAACTCTTCATATTTTTCTTCAAATACCCTATGTTGTTCTACAATTTACATAACTTACTTCAGACTTGTTTGAATAAAGAAGAAGCTTTACAGGGTGAAACCACGAAGTGATCAAAATTCGTTAATGAAAATTTTGTTATCTTAGTTTATTTTGCATCACCACTGCACAGAATCTTAGCTTCTCAAGAGACTTGTTGTTTTGGGTGAGAAATGAAGAAAAGGAGAACTTATAATCTAGTTTTTTGTATCTTCATTGCACTTTACTCCCAGGTCATAGGGACTTGGTATGTTTCTCTCTGTGGGTGATTTAGTTCATACCTTTGTTTTCCTCCTTAGACTGAAGCATGGAAAGGGATCCAAACATTCCAGACATTCGCCCTAATGTTGTCTCCGATATAGACCTTTTAAAAGACTGCAATAATCGAAGTTATCAACAATAAATACATACTTTATCAATATCTTTATTTCAGAAAAACAGATTCTGCAAAAAAGTTTGACATGTTCTAGAGGAAAGTTGGGCCATAGGACAAGTGAGAAGATGTAGACTTTTGACTTACATATTCTTTGCATGTTCCTCCATATTTGCTTTGCATCTGTAGAGGAATGGCCATCAGAATATTCAGATATGGAGAAGGAAAGGTGAATCTAAGCTCTTTATTCACATACCTTCAGTGAAAAATCAGTTACATCCAGTAGCAACAACTTGGCATTAAAGTAATGAGCCAATGCCTTGGCGAGCATTTGTTGATAAAGTTCTGGAAAATGCGAAACATAGAGAAACTAATGGGCAAGTAACAAACAGAAAACTCAAACCAAATCCAATATATTGTATGCAAAGACTAACCAGCAGGCCCTGACAGCAAAATTGTTCGACTAGCAGGGGAGAGGTTGCGAGTATGCTTAGCAAAATCGGCATTTGTCAAATGAACAAAAGACGCACTTGTCAGCAACACCCTCGTTTGCTCGCTGTCATATGTCATATAATTTTCAAAATCAGTAAGTTGCTTTCAGACGTAAATGTCAGCAATTACTAAAACTTTTCAAAAATCTTCTCTAAATTTTAAACGCCATAACTCCTCAAAACCAGAACGGAATCTACGTATATTTCTAAGATATTGAAACATTAAATGAAACAGAGTATAGCAGAAAGGCTTCGTGATTTACCTTAGGTAGTATGGAAACTCATCAAAAGTGACTTTACTATCCTTGCCATTGGCTATGAGATTAAGCATCTCTTGCTCCATAATCAATGGCGTAATAACATTCGCAGCGGAGCCACTAGCCCATCTACTAACCGTCTGCCCTGAAGCCAATCCAATTCCAACACCAACACCAACACCTATTCCCACACCCAACGCTGACAACAACATATTCTTCTGTTCCATTGCTTATACTCAAAACAAACTTCGAAATCACAAAACAGAGCACCGACAACAAAACACGATATCTCTATCGATAAAAAACACAGAATCTCAATTAAACACAGATTTGAACCCGGAAGTAGTTAAAATCGTTGAAAACTTCACCGTCACCTCTGGTAAAACACACAGAAATTCAAATTTTTCGAATTTTCTAAAATTTATCTCAATCAAACAAATAGATCAGTATCCTCCTCAAAGATCATTCAGATTCCGGAAACAAAACTCGTCACAATAATCACCTTTTCCCGCACTCTGTATTTTTATTTTTTTTTACGTTCGCGCAGTTTGTTCACACTGCATATAAAGTGTCTTCCTTCATAAAAATCTCCAATTCATCCCTGAATCGTACTCGTACTACCGCCTTTGCTTTTTCTTTTTTTTTGGTTTCCAGAAAAATTAATAAAATTGATCGTTTTTTACGTAGTTTCTAACACGAATGGATCTCCAGAACCTGAGAAACACCGTATATGTTTTTGTTTATTGATGATAATGAAGAAATGAGAAGCGGTGGTTTCACGGCGGTTCACGGCGGCGAAGAAATGAGAAAGGAGAGGAGAAAGGTGGTTAGAGTGTGTATTACACAGTTGCCGCTTTTTCAGGCTTCGGGCAATTACAACTTTATTACTTATTAAAAAAGAAAAAGAAAACTGACTGTTGGGGTCCACTGGATTGCTGACGTGTGAGTATTTGTAGATAAATTGAAGGCAGAAATCCTCTACGATTGACACCGTACATACATACTTGTACAAATTTTATTTTTATTTTTGCTAAATACAATTTATTTTTATTTTTGCTAAAATAAACAATCGCGGATTCATGATAGTAACCAAAAATTAAAGAATAATATATTTTTCGTAGCTTAATAAATCGTTAATATACTGACATCTCAATTTATGTGAGACAATTATAAAATGAAACTGATTTTCTAGATGGAGAGAGTGGGGTAACAGGTGATTACAGTAGGGATACGATACAGAGTACCATTTGAGATTATTATTATGGGCAAGGCTGAGAACGCAATACTATGCAACAAAATTAAATTCAAGTGGGGCTGATAATGCCGAAATAATAAACCAATCAAATTTCACTTAACAAAACTGTTTTTACAGAAACAGCCCTTATATTTATACCAAAATGTCTTTATTAACCCTTATCTTTTTATAGTATTGTGGTATGTATCGAAGCAAGTGGAAGGAATATCTCTATTTTTGGAAAGTATTCGTTCAACTTGGAAAAACTTTATAGAATCAGGTATATTTAACGTGACACGGAATTTTTAGAATTTTTAATATTGAGATTTAGAATCGAAGAGGAAAATATTTAAATTAGTCGAAAAGAATTTGATATTTACTATATAAAAAAATAAATTTAATCATGTATAAATAATAATATTTTTCGTCGAAAGAGATTTGGATGAAACTGACAATATTCGAGTAGACTCCTTGCTCTAATATGATAAATGTACAGGTCATTTGATGACAATTACACAATTTTCACTTAAAATTTTCGCTCTACAAATTAAATTTGAACTAACTAATTCACTTAGTAAATTTTAAATATCATATAATTAAACGATAATAATTGTAGAAGGGGTTGGGGGAACACAAAGAGATGGGAAGCATAGGGACTTGATTTTCTATTTAAGTATTGTTATTTTGAGTAACTTTTTTAAAAAATAAGACACGATTTTTCTATTAAATTCACAATTGATATTGCAAGTTGTAGGGATTGCTGAGAACAAACTTGTTCAAGTCACAAAAAGCAAAACAACATAAATAAATGATTATTCTGCTAGCTTCTTCTCCTTCTGAGTTTGATTATTATAGTTTTTTTTTTAAAATGATTATCGTATTATTTTGTTGTGACTAATATTTAAATATTTTATTAGGTTTTATTATCATTACTTTTATTTTTTTATGTCTTCCTTATATTATTCTGGTCAATTTTTTTCCTTGAGCTAATGGTTTATTAAGAACATTCTTTATACCTTGAATATAAGAGTAAAGTTTATATACACTTTATTCTTCTCAGATCATACTTACAGAAATTATATTGAATATCTTATTATTATCGGACGAAATTAACATCGTGTCTTTTCTCCTGTCCATTTCTTGTATATTTGTAGAGCTTAATTTGCTTTCTTTTTTAGGTATTTTTTAAGTTGGATAGAAATTGTCAAATATGCTAATTTAAACCAACAAGTCAGGATGGCCGAGTGGTCTAAGGCGCCAGACTCAAGTTCTGGTCTTCGTAAGAGGGCGTGGGTTCAAATCCCACTTCTGACATTTATTTTATTTTTATCTTTTTACAACAATTTCGTTGACATTATTGATCAAATATACCTGCTTCAAACCTAATACGCACACGTGATCAACATAACATTCTTGTTCAATCAAGTCGATCATCCGTATCGATTCCCTGTGTAAATACTAATAATTAATTTACGCCCATAGTTTTTCTTTTTTATCTTTTTTGATATTAGCCAAAGTTGAGAGTCACCAGATTTGGCTTATGAGTTGTGACCAAGTGTCTTCTATTAGTCAGTCCTATGGTCCTCTTAATAATTTACACCTAAGTTTGTACGTGTCACCTTTACTTCTAAATACCATTAAAGTACCTTGTATTGGTGTGCTGTCTCCATAAATCACATTTGTATCTTTTTCATAGGTAAACATAAAGACACGCAGACACGGCCCTTATCGATCGCATATTAGGATAGAAAGTTAATATATAAAAATTGCATGGATTCAAATAAATTATTTCATTGAAAAGAAGTTCTGTATTTTTATTTCATTAAATCTAAGAATACAAATCCATTCCATAGACTATGCAAGAGGATGGATGGCAATAAATTTCTTGAACGTCCATATATTACACCCATTACAACTCCTAGAAAAATTAGTGGTAACATCCTTTGTACATTAAAATGTGCTAAAGCAAAGGCAATGGAACTCATAAGAATGGAACACCATACAGGCATGTATTTTGTCAATGAAGGGAGAAGGAAGCCCCTAAATACAATCTCCTCCCAGAGAGGGGCGCAGACGACAAGAACCAACGCGTACAACGCCATTGCCACTGGATCACGTGCTAATATAGACTGCTCGACGCTAGAGAGAGTTAAAGGAGTGGAAGGGAGAACAGGTAACAGGTCGAGATTGAACTGTGATAGCCGGTTCACTAATGGGAACATGAGACATCCAACAAGAACGTCGAAGAGCCAGTTACCTTTTAGGCTAAACTTGAACCAGTCTGATGGAAGTGGACGGAAACGGGTTAGACACCGTTGAAGAATTAGAATTCCAGCAAGACCCTCGGTTACATCGGTTAAAAGGCTGAATAAAGCCTGCCCTCTGAATGTCAGTGATTCTTTGCTGATACCAACCATATATGCTCCAAAAGGAATCATCCAAGAACCTATGAACCAAAATGAGACGATCCAAAGAAGCATAACCTGCATGATCACACTTCTCGTTACCATGTGACACACATAACATGGAGAAGTCGAAAACTAACAACAGAGATTACAACTCTTTGACGACAAGCATACAGAAGAGAGGGGAGAGGGGGACCAAAAGTGGAAAAATGGTTGAAGGCAAGAGTAGTAGAAAAAGCCAAGGAAGCACAATGTTTCTCATATAAACACTTAAGCCACGATGAGCTATAACTGGAGGTGTAAAAAACTATGTAGAGCTTAAGATATATAAACATAAATTTGTAGTAGAACTAGGTAACTTAGAAGAGGAAAAAACAAGCATTTCACAAGTTTCATGACTAGAAACACTCCTTAAAATCTACACACCAAAGCCTATGCAGAAACTGGGAAACTACTCAGAACTGTTTTTAAATCATAGGTATTTGTGATTTCCTTTTTTTTCTTTTCCTTGTATACAAGTGCAAGTATCATAAGTATGACTGCCACTGAGATAGTCTCCTTGACACACAATTGAATAAGGTAACCTCTTTCTTTCCCATTTTGGAGATATATGTTAATACATAGTAACTTGACAAATGAACAAACTACATTCTGACTCGGGAATGATCAGAAAAAATTGTATAGCGATTCTTAGTTAGGCCTCATTGTTAAGGAGGATTACCCCTTACCTGAAGGATGGTCTCAGCTGTCCATGGGACTGTCCATGGTTTTCCGGTCACCTTAAATACTAGATCTGCAGCCTTAAAAACATAAAGTTCTCGTTAAACGTGAGAAACATTAGTTTCAAGTACTTAAATCATCTCAGTTAGTATAATTAACAAATACTCATCAAAGAAGAGTTTTCCTGCAGCAATGAGCCTAGAATGTATCAGTTCTTGTCTTCTTGAAGGTCCTTGTGACCGCATTAACTGATGTGCACACAGATTCAAACACTCTAGTGAACATGTCATACACACATTGGGCAGTGCACTTTTGGCATATTATTTTTCCATTTGACCGAAGGTGCATTTGTATGTATATTTGTCAAAGCTGGAGAATAAAATAGTTCTATTCCTTTCCTAATTCTACAGACTACAAGGGCAAAAAGGTTCTTTTTTGACATCTGTGGTGTCTATGCCAAACAGAAGATGAAACATTTGTTACAAACACCAAAACTTCAAAGGACTTATGAGATTTCTCTTTCTTCCTTTTTTTAATTTTGGGACTCATAAATGGTTTCTATGTTGTGGAAGAATGTGACTGTCACAAGTCACAACATTTAAATGGTGAATATGAGCAACTGAATCAAACTCCAAAGTAATAATTCGCTTCTAAATTAAAAAATATCAGGGTCTCCTTAAAGATACAATTCGATACAATAAATACTAGTTAATAAAGAAGGTCTTCACCAAAAAATAAAGCAACAGCAGAAAAAAAGAAAACTGAACTTCCCCTTCAATTATCCCACCCCCAAACCCAAAAAAGAAAAAATCACAGATATGACGAGGGAAGTTATAGCTCCACCGCTGTATGGAATGCAAGAAATACCAGCTCTATAAATGAAAGAAAATTACCTCTCTAAATCGCGAAATCCAGTTTCTTTTCTCCACACTTGGTTTATCAATTTCCGGGTTTTTCAATTCCTTATGTAAAAAGTCATCAATAGACTCAGGGTTGGAGGAACCTGAAGACGATTCTTCATTCCTAAAGCATGAAATTTTCCACCTCTGCAAAATTGTCAAGTATATGTTTAGAAATGTACATAATCAAGTAGCATAAGAAATCATTAAAAGAGTAAAAGACGTTGAATGTACTGGATAAATACTTAAGAAGTTACATTCAATTTACTGATAGAACACTTCAAACAATTACTAAAGCTGATTATGTAACTTATCTTACATCTGAACGTGTACATCATGTCAAAAACCATAAAATATCAACTAACTAGATTGGAACATTATGGCGAGTAAAGATTGGAAGTTACAACTAACTAGATTTAAAAGTACCTATCTTACCCAAGCCCATTACTTATAACACATGAACTTAAAAAAATTGAACTCTAGAAATATAGAAAAGCGAGCAAAGATTAGACATTATGGTCAATAACAACTGAATTGTATGCAAAACAACTACAAACACAAGGAATCAATAACTAAGCTCTAGAAACACAGATAATGATAAAGATCGGAAGTTATGGTAAGTAAAGATTGAACTGTACAAAAACGATTGAGAGAACATAAACCCACTTACAATATTACCTAAGCTCACAACTCTTTTTGTTGATGACAAGGGAAACCCGTAGCCGCTACCCTTTGGGTGCGCACAGGGTAAAACCCCCGCTCTATGCAATAGCTCGCAAACCACATAGGAGAGGTAACCCGCACTAGGCAAGCCTTGTGCGACGAGCTCGACCCAGAAGGCAAACCCCTTGCTTTCGCTGGCAAGGGGTTTCGAACTTGAGACCTCCAACATGGAAGTCCCAAGCTCAAACCACTTGGCCACCCCGAACGGTTACTTAAGCTCACAACTCTAAACAAAAAGAATCAACAAACTGAACTCTAAAAATACAGAACAATGAGCAAAGATTGGAACCTTATGACAAGTAAAGATTGAGATAATACAGCTACCTATATTAAAATTTAACATAAATCCACTACATATACAACCAAACCCACAACTAGAAACACGAGGAATCAACAAACTGAACTCAAGAAAAACACAGAACTGTGAGCAAATACTGGCACTTCATGGCAAGTAAAGATTGAGCTATTACAGCTACCAAGATCAAAATTGAACATAAACCCACTACATATACTACCAAGACCACAACTACAATCACAAAGACTTAACAAATTAAAATCTAATGATACATAAACATGATAAAGATTGGAACTTCATGGAAAGTAAAGATTGAGATGTTACAGCTACCAAGATCAAAATTGAACATAAACCCACTACATATACTACTACCAAGATCATAACTACAAACATAAAGATTTAACCAATTAAACTCTAAAGATACATAAAGATTGAGATGTTACAGCTACCAAGATCAAAATTTAGCATAAACCCACAACTACAAACACAAAGATTTAACAAATTAAACTCTAAAGATACATAAAGATTGAAACTTTATAGCCAGTAAACATGAAATCTAGTGAAAAAAAAAGGTTACCTTTGTAGAAATCCTGTGATGGGGTTCAGAGATTCTGATTCTGTGTGAAAGTGTGGGCAAAGATTTGGGACAAAATGTTGAAACCCTAAATCTAGGAGATGAATTAGAAAGAAGAGGAAAAGAGTGAGTACAATTGGAGCTCAGCATGAGACTAATCTGTCTTTTATTATCACAAAATGCTCTAATTTTGTGAGGAAATGGAGAAATTGAATACATGGGATTTGGGCATTTTTCCCCCTTTCTTCTTTGAACCACCAAAAACCAAACCCTAGTTGCTACCAATTAATTTCGATCTTGAAAAAAAATAATCTTTTTTTTAAATATTTATATGTATTTTTTATTTATTTATATGGTATGCAAGTTGACGTTTTTGACGATTGACGTGAGGAAAAGAATCTATTGGATTCTATAAATAAAAATATAAAATATATATGTATGTCCATGCAAATCTGTTTATTCCTTCAATTTCTTTTTTTGCATATATTTGATCTCAAAGACTTTTTTGATATTTGGAATATCTTTTTGAAATAATATATTTCGTTTTATAAGTGTGAATAAGAATTTATGATAGAGTAGCGTATTAAACATTGATTTTATGTCAATGAGTTCTAAAATTCTTAAAAAGAAATAATGATCTTAACCTAAAGTAACAATCACGAATAAATAAAAGTAAGTATTTAATTCAATAAAAACGAATACGAAAAAAATGACAAGTGAGAAACAAGAGTACACACCACATATTTGGATAGCAGTAATTAGATTAACAATAAAAGTTAGACCCTACTAACTTGAGAAGAAAAAAATTGAGTCAAATTATTTTTAATGTGAGTAGAAATAAATAGTCAGATATTATAGTTTCATAATAAGATACAAATATATATATATATATATATATATATATATATAT